CTGCCAGCGTGAGATCCACGCTTTGAGCGTGGATTTTGATTTTGCAAAATCCTCGTTTTGCTCCAGTTTGTTTGCTTTTTCCTACAAAATTAGCATAAAATCAGTATTCAATCCTTGATTAAGATTCTGACAAATTAACAGTGATTCTTGCTCTTTTTCTCAAGATTTTATCAACATTCTTTCTCTTTTTGGTTCAGATTTCCTTATATGCTAGGCGCATATCAGAGTCATCTTTAGCCTTCCCTTTAGAAGAAGTTTTCTTGGGCTTCAGCAAGAATTTCTTATAATCAGAGCTTGTCATACTAACTGCAAAAAATAGCCAAAAATCAGAATGCAAATTATGAGACATACCAAAACAAGTCTTGAAGGGAAATCACATACCGAGCTCGTGAAGGAGATCATCTCCAAATTTATCTACAATTCGACTTAAATTGATAATGCCAAATTCTTGGCATAACCGATCAGGACGAAAGCCGCCAATCTTTCAGAATCGAAAAGAGCTACCTCCGGAGTGGCATAATCTCTAGGATGCCTTCGGTAATGCCTTTGTGTCCAGTAAAGCTCAAATTGACAAGACAAATCCCCAGTGTCCAACCATTTCTTGGCGAACCAAGGGAGAGAGTCAGAACAGGATGACACTTTAAAATAGGCATCCTTGAAACCTTTGAAGGATTAGGAGTAGGGAATAAAAATACCCCGATTCGGAGCACCTCGGAGGGTAACCAACCCTTTCTTTCTTTGACCTTGGCCACAGTCCGGGCCGTATATACGTCGAATAAAAAGAAAAGCAGACAAACTGTGCAAGGAAGACATAGATATGCACTAGGGGTGTTCGTGGTCTGGATTGGATCGGTTTTGGAAGCAAAACTCATCCGATCCAATCCCTTCGGTTTGATCATGTAATCATCCATTCGGTTTAGATTTTTTTTCAAATCCGATCCGATCCAATCCAATTTTTTTTGGTTTGGATTGGATGGGTTTTCGATTTTTTGAATATCCTAAAATTAGTTTCATGATTATTGTGCAAATAACATCTTTTGTATATATTGAATTTGTCAAAAAAAATAATTGAAATAAAAAAATATCAGTAAACAGTACTATAGTTGATAAGACGTTACTAAGTTTTTTCTTGGGTTTAGTTGACGAGTTAATGCGTCTTGAGTTTAGAAATTTTTGGGCTATGATTGGAGAAAGGACAAGTAGGTAGAGGATAATTAATATATTGGATCGGTTTGGATTGGATCGATTTTCATCAACCCATCCGAAATCCAATCCAATCCAATTAAAATTTGCGGTTTTTTTTTGGTTTTCGATTTTTCGGTTTTCGGTTTATTCGGTTATCGGTTTTTCGGTTCGTTTTTCGCGGTTTGAATCGGTTTGGATCGGTTGATGAACACCCCTAATATGCACACACTTGTTCAAAACCTCGGATGAAAGCCCATGAATTAAGATGAAGCTGCGAGGGAGCAATCCGAAGTCGACGGATCACAGCAACTTGAAATTCAGAAAAGGGGAACCGGAGTCCCACCTTGGTAATTAAATTCCGATAAAAATAAAAGAAATGAGTTTCGTCCTTATTAGGACCTGCACATATTGGGCTATCACCCGCTGGAATAATATCAACTCCAGTGGGGTCTCCAACAGGAAGTTGGGATACCTCAACAGGAGACATAACCTACCGCATATTGAGAATTTCGAGAAGAACCCAATTCTAGATGTCGGATTCCTCCATAATTGTAGTCCTGGAACACGAAGGACGAGGGTCAGTATAAAAATTAACCAAATCCGACCTCAGACTACCGGGCTCGGATTGCAATGAGCATGGACTCCAAGAAAAAGGGATGAAACTATCAGAACTACTGGCGAGATCAATAAATGCCACCTGACTTGAAATCGAGTCACTGAATGGGACAGAAGGGGCTTTAGACCTCGGAGAACCTAATTCAGATGAAGAACTAGAAGAACTATCACTAAGCCCGAGGGAAGGGATCCGATCTAGAACGGATCTCGGACCCGGAGCAACCGAGACGAGGGTAAAATGTAAGATAGGGGAACTGGATTGCGAGGGGAATTCATCCCAGGAGGAACGACGGGATTAGAGACCGGAAAAGGTCCACCCCTTCCAAAATTAAGTTAAGATTGATGCTCTCTTCCCCCTCTCCGACCTCGTCCTCTTCTACTGCGCCCACCTCGGGAACTCCGGCGACCTCCTTGATGGCCTCGAAGAAGCTGCTGAAGCTTCTCCTCCTCGGTATATTCCCTACCATAGAACCAATACTGGACTCACCGAGGTAGTTGTCTTACCATTTTTTCATTAATTTTCTCCCCACCACCTCGGCCAGCAACCGAACCACAAGATGGACTAGGGGCATCCATAATCAGTCCAGAAGAAAAGAACTTCACTCAAAATGTTCAGAAGGGAATCTAAAGGAACACAAACGAAGTTTCCTCCCCGGCAATGAAATAGAGGAACTGAAAAGAGGTACAATGCTACTCAAACTAATGACCAAAGTAGAAAGAAAGAGAGAAAATACCTGTTTCAGGAAAGGCAGGAAGAACAGATAAACTACGAAACTTCCACTAATATTTGCAACAAACAACGACAAAGAAACTGGAAGACTCGAAGAAACACGCCTAAGGTGAAGCCAAAGGTGAAGAAGAAGTACTCAGAAAAGGAAAATGCAAAACAGAGGGGAACTTACAAACAATGCGAGAAGAATAATTTAAAGTAGAAACCTATTCGAGGCGCGAAGATGAAAGGGTTGCAAATAGTTAAGCAACCAGGGAAAGAAGGGTAATATCACCCTGCACGCATTAAATGTGTGCAATCATCACGTACACGGGTACAGAACGGCTCACTGCCCGCGATGTATGAACTCCCAATAGCCATGGGACACATGGAACTTATAATCGTCAAGGGTAAACAAAGGGTCACGTTGAATTAACAAGGGTTAGGCACGATCTTATCCACGACATGATGGCCGAGATCTATACCACGGCCTAATACGACAAAGGAGATTTTGCCAAGAGCAGAAAATTCAAAATCGCCCATAGAGGGCACATATCGTCCCCGATATGACAGACGTCAAAGTTATGCTCCACCTTGAACGACTTGAGGAAGAAATACCTCGGCAGTACGTCAGTTTAAGCAAGTTCGAGATAATGCATAAACACCCCGGCATTCCGAGCTTCGGAATACCGAGCTGGGGGGCAACTGTTATGGATATATATATATATATATATATATCGTATCCTAACTACCTACCTAAGAATCCACCAAGGGATAAATACTCAATTATCCTAACAATATTAAACAACAAGATACTTGGGATATAATCTTATCTCAACAGCAAGGAAGTTGAATCCTACTGCAACTGGGAGATCTACCCAAACCCTACAGGTAATCCTTATAAATAAGAGGCTAAAGATCCTAGGTACACATTTTTTGACCTAATTACTATTACTTCCAACACCGTGCATACATCCACGTCTTGGCTAAAGGCCTATTGCTTGTGCGCAGTTATTGAGATATTGGCTATAAGCCAACTAAGGTGCCTATCACTAAGGTATCTCTGAGCGCATACCCTTGGGTATAGCAATACGGTCTTCTAGGACCTAACAATATATTTAATGGTCAAACACCGCTATCTAGTCAAAGTACCCATATCCATCTATCCTAGGGTTGGCTTGTAACCCGCCAAAAATGAGCCGGGTTGGGTTCGTAAAAATGAGCTGCCAACCCGTGAGAAAACGAGCCAACCCGCGGGTCAAACGAGCCAACTCGCGGGTTGAGTTTATTTATTTATTTATAAAAAAATACAAAATATAATATACAAAAATGGATAAAACTCACACATGTTGTCATCATTTTTCTTCCTTCTCTAAACCTAAGTCCCTAATCTTCTCACATCCCTGCTATTTTTATATTGTTAGGCTGTGCTGGCTCTGTTTGGTTTAAATATCTTACCCACTTGGTAGCAAGTGATTCTGATTGTTTCTTGATGTTGATGCAAATTTGTTGTGAAGAAAATTCGAAACTAAAATATTTTAGTTTTATTTCTCATTTTGTAACCCTTTGTTTAACATAATGGAAGCCACATAACTGGTGCATTAATACTACATGATCATTTAAATAGGCTGAAAATGAGCCAACCTGCGACCTGCGAGCAATTTTCGAGTCAACCAGTGAGTCAATTTTCGAGCCAACCCACGAGCCATATTTTTTAGCCAACCCGCGAGCCAACTCTAACCCGACTCGGGTCGGGTTGGGTTTTCTGGCTCGTTTTTTTTTCGAGCCAACCCTAACTCGGCTCATTTTTTTTCAGGTTGGATCGGGTCGGGTCGGGTTGGCCCGTTTTACCAACCCTAATCTATCCCTCGTTTCCCTTTCTCTCTCTATATATAAAAGCTCTGTTATTAGTTTGGAACTAATATCTTATAAAGATAGAAAAATACATGTAATTTTTTTCAAGGAAAATAAAATAAAAAATTAAAGTATAAGAGTCCTAGAGTAGCATGAAATATATTTAAAAATAAATACAATCAAAACGGGAATGTACTGTTACATTCAACAAAGGCAAATATATTTAAAAAAATTCCTGTTTACTGTTTATCGCGGCATCTATCATTGAATAGCATGAAATCCGCGGGATCGAACCCGCCAACTCAGGAGGCATTATTTTCAAACGAACTATCGAAAACACTGTTGGACCACCTCATCCACGTCATCGATCCAAACACAGTCTCATCTCGGATCTGGACCGTACAAAGAAACCAATCAACCGTCCTAAACGCCTCTTAGACACCTATTACACGGATCGACGAAGTGACCTTAACTTCCTTTCGCTACCTATAAATCTTATGCGCATAGCATATTGTTTCCAACATCGAACTCTATCTCACTTAGGTAATTTCTTTTTTTTTTCATTGTAATTCATTTTGCAATTGCGATTTATCCGTATTCATCATTGGTTGATAAAAATTGCTGGCTGCGATTGTAGGTTGTGTTTGGCTTTAACGTCTTAATCAACAACAATCATGTCTGGGCGTGGAAAGGGAGGGAAGGGATTGGGAAAAGGAGGAGCAAAACGTCACCGTAAGGTGTTGCGCGATAACATTCAGGGAATTACAAAGCCAGCGATTCGGCGTTTGGCTCGTAGGGGTGGCGTGAAGCGTATCAGCGGTCTCATCTACGAGGAGACTCGCGGTGTTCTTAAGATCTTTTTGGAGAACGTGATTCGCGATGCTGTTACCTACACTGAGCACGCCAGAAGAAAGACCGTTACTGCTATGGATGTTGTTTATGCACTCAAGAGGCAGGGAAGGACCCTCTACGGATTTGGGGGTTAGGGTTTCCCTTTTATTTGCTTTGTTGATTTTCATGGGTTTTCTGGGTGAGGAAAAGTCTTGCTGTCAAGAAAACAAAGGCAAGGATTGGATGAGATTGGATTGTTGGTGGTGTTTTTGAAAAAAATTAAAAAACGAAAAATAGTAGCAATTATATGTATTTGTGTAATAGGTAGTTTGCTTTTTCCTTGCTATTCTTGTTATGTAATGTAACTACTGTGTTGCAATGTAGAACCGTTTCAAATCCCAGTTCTCTGTGCAAATATTCTCCGTTGTTTTGTTTTTGTACATTATTTTACTTTTGCTAAACCGATAAATTATGGAAATTACGCACACACATAACCTAATCTATAAATACTGACTTATTACTTTGGATGGTGGGAAAAAAATTTAATTATTGCATTTTAATTAAATAATTATGTATTTATTGCAGTTTCAGAAATAATTACGAATTTATTGCACAGTGTGACGTTCAAAATGGGCGTCACATGTGACGCCCCAGTGAGGCGTTTCACCCTATGGGGAAGACGTCCCAATGAGGCGTCTTTCATCTGGTGTTGATACGTGTCATACTTTTTTTCAAAAAAAATAATAATTTAATCATAAAACTTCTGAAGGCCATAACTTTTGACTCGGGTATCCAAATCAGGTAATTCTTTTTTTGATTCCACATAACTTTTCGAGATCTACGCAATGACATCTCATTTGATATATTTTATTTCTCACAAACATAATTTAAAATTGCCTCCCATATATATTGTTTGTAGTTTTTTCATAATAGTCTTTTCATTTGCAAGGATTAGTGAATAAAAAATTGTGATTCGAATTGCATAAATGACAAAAAGGAATTTAAGAAAAAAGGGAATAAAATCGAAACCCCAATTCTACGAAATAGTGTATACTGAGAAAAAAGTTCCTTTTTTAAACCCAAAGAGAGGGAATGGTAAATTCGTAATAGAATTTTTACCGAACTAATCTAGTGTGTCAATGATTGACTCTTCTTATAAATAAAATGAATAGCTGTAAGAAAATGAATAATGCAATATACAAATAATAACGTCATGATTCAAATCTAAACTTAAATGCAAATAGTAACATCATCCTATAATTCAAATGCCGATATGATCCTAGTCAGATTCTAGTCATCCTATAATTCAAATGTAGATATGATTCTAGTTAGATCTTAGTCATTCTATAATTCAAATTGTGATTCGAATTGCATAAATGACAAAAAAAATTAAGAAAATAAACAAATGGTTCGTTTTTTTCTAAAGTTACTTTAGACAACTTTGTCTAATGTTCACTAAAATGACGTCGTCTTGTGGCGGAAATCATAGTGTATTTTTAATTCTAATTTAAGGCAGCTATACAAAAACACCATGAATACAAATGAATAGTTGTATAAAAATGAATAAGGCAGCTATACAAAATTACAAAATACAAATACCAACGTTATGATTCAAATCTAAACTTAAATGTAAATAACAACCTGATGATTCAAATCTAAACATAAATGCAAATAGTAATGTCATTCTATAATTCAAATGTCGATATGATTCTATTCAGATCCTGGTCAAATGAGAAATAAAATTGTGTTTGTGATGAATAAAAAGATGTCAAATGAGATGTCATTGCGTAGATCTCAAAAAGTTATGTGGAATCAAAAAAAGAATTACCTGATTTGGATACCCGAGTCAAAAGTTATGGCTTTCAGAAGTTTTATGATTAAATTATTATTTTTTTAGAAAAAAGTATGACACGTGTCAACACCAGATGAAAGACGCCCCATTGGGGCGTCTTCCCCTTAGGGTGAGACGCCTCACTGGGGCGTCACAGTGTGCAATAAATTCGTAATTATTTCCGAAACTGCAATAAATACGTAATTATTTAATTAAAATACATTAAATTAATTTTTTTGCGTTGGATGGTTGGTTAAGTTTATTTATTTATTTAATATTTTTTATTTTATTTTTTGTGTCCCGGAGGAAGTAACTTGTCATATTTGGTAGCTCGTGTCTAATGTTTTTGGTCATTCGATAATCCAATTGTAGTAATACATATTTTTTAAACAGAAAAATATTTTTGCACATAAATTATTTATATTTACTTTGAAAATAATATCGCTTTTAAATTAAAAAATTATAATTATAAAAATTATAATAATTTTAAAATAAATTAAAATTATAAAAATATCATGATTTTCGTTTCAGTATGATATCGTTATCATATTAAATTTATTGTAGATAACTTATTTGCAGTAACTTAAAAAAAAATAGTCCTTTTTTAAAATTGAAAAAGTGAAACTTAGTAAATGTAGTAAGGTGAACCTAAAGTATTTTTTTGCGGAAGGGTATCCATTTATTGGATAGCTTAATTCGCTGAGCGAAAGCCCACCTTTTTAGTGAACTTTGACACTCAAAGATAATGTTCTAATTTCTAAAAGTTTATTGGCTACTATTTTTTTTTTGTTTGGCTTAATGGTTGTATAAGTGTTTTGGACCTTCTGATATAAAGTTAGGAGGGTTCGCGATTTGGATTGGATCAATTTTGAAAGTAAAAATTATTTGATCCAATTTCTTCAGTTTGATAATGTAATCATTCAGTTTGGATTTTTTTCCAAATTCGATTCGATCCAATTCAATTTTTTTTGGCTTTTTAAAAATTCTAAAATTTGTTTCAGAATTATTATGCAAACAACATCTTTTATATGTATTGGCTTTGTTTTTTTTTTTTTGTTTTTGAAATACAAAAGCATAATATAGTTTTTTTTTTGACAATGAGATATGAAACTCTATACAGATGAATTTTGTTATGTGCTAGGTTTTTTCTGGATTTAGTTGATCAGTTAATGGATTTTGGGTTTAAAAATTTTTGGGCTATGATTGAGAGATGAGCCAAGAAGATAGAAGTGAATTAATATATTGGATCGGTTTTCATCAACCAATCTGAAAACCGATCCAATCCAATTAAAATTTAGAGGTTTTTTTCGGTTTTCGATTTGTTTAATTATTGGTTTTTCGGTTCGATTATCGCGATTTGAATCGTTGGATGAATATCTCTAATTCAAAGTGCTATGAGTTCACTTTCTAAGGCTTGAGTGTTGCAGCCTTTAGTCGGCAATTACCTTTCTTTCCAAATCTATAGTGGGGCACGTATAACGTATAATTCATACCACAGCTATACTTTTTTTTGGAGTTGCTTAATCAAATAAAAATCTGTTATTAATTCCTTGAGCGGATAATATCTTAATAGGTTTTTACGGGTATGAGGTAGGACAATTCCTAAAGTTAAAAAAAAAATTCAGAAGACAAATCAACAGGGTATATTATATTTTATATCTCATTGGGTTATTAAAAAACTGATTATGTCACATCCCCTCACACTTATGTAACAAAACTATGATTTTTTTGGTGACTAACAAGACAATTGGACTATATAAAGCTTCAGTTTAGTGTACTACGCATTACTGTGTGTAAGCAGTCCAACTAGTCAGTGTATTATGCTCCGAAATCCTTCCCAAAAACCATGGCCTCTGTTTGCATAACTAACTGCGTCAATGATACATGTCTTCCCGTTCGGCCAACCTATGTAAACATGTACAAGTGGCCAGAATCCGATGTAGAATTTGTGAAGACAGTAAACTCTAACAATCACCCAAGTGGAGTTGACAGCCTCTACTGCAGGCAAATGTACTTGAGGAGCTACAAATTCTCAAGGAAGGAAATGGGTGTCACTGAGAAGACCATGAAGTGTTTGAGCAGACTTAAAGAGAGTGTGGTTTGCGCCAGAAATAGATTAAATCTCAAGTATGAGTATAAGACTCTCGGGAGGGCCAAAGATGTTACTCATGCTGCCTTCTTCACAATCTTTCACAAGCTGCTATTGTGCTCTGCCAAGGTTGATGTGGCTCATCATGATTTCTAACCCAATCCTACACCAACTTGGGTTTTATTCACGGAGAATGATCTGTTTATAATTTTTTTTTGATAAATTTTTATAAATTACATTATTTTATTTCGAGAGAACATAGTGAAATCTAGTGTTCTTTCAGATGAAGATAGTATAATTTGTAAGAGTTTATAAACAAAAAAATTTGTAAATATAAAATGCCCCTTTATTTATTGCTGGTTTATGTAACTATATAGTTTCTAGTTCAAATCTTATCCTTGTATCATTTTCTCTTTCTTCCTTTAAGTTAAAGAAATGCTTTGTAAAAATATCGAGCAAAACATAGCAATGTTTTGTCACTTGCTTTCAGCGAGCAGGTTAATATGTGAGCATGCGTGATACTTTAATAAAATTTATTATAAGCTTCGTATGCGTGCGAATGTGTTTACTATAAGTTTTCTGTTCATACAAATATGTACGAGCTTCCCTTCCCTGATATATAGGATGTGTGATAGGATTTTTTTTATATTGATGTGAAATTAAAAAGTTTTACATCAAATTTTAATCGTTGATTTTCATCAATCTAATAATTATAATTTATTCAGAATTAATAATTAACTAATAAATGTGATCAAACAAATTATAATAATTAGATTCATGAAATTAATAATTAAAATTTGATGTCAAACTTTTTAATTAGACACTGATATCAAATAATCCACTCATATTGAAGTATAAAAGTGAATCCCTCACCCTAAACTTATGATTTTTTATTTTTTTAAAAAATAAATTCATAAGATGAATGGAAATTTTTTTCTTTTCGGTGTTGACTGGGGAAGAGAACGATGAAAACGATATAATTCATAACAGACCTATCAGCTTTGGAATTTCCGTTGTACAAGTTGGCGGAGGCACATGGTGACAAGTTGGGTAAAAAGATTAGGATAAGGATAATTCATAATTGTTTAACCGTTGAGGAGAACAAGAAGGTCTTGTAACAAGTGAGTTGATTCTGATGTGCCTTAGTCCCTAATCAGATTACCCTCCCCTACCTACTTGTCTACTTCTACTTGTCATTTGTTATAGACTAACATAGGAAAAGTAATTTTTAATCTTCACCTTTTATTTCAAAATCTTCAAAAACGTCTTTATCTAATTCAAATGTTTTAAAACAAACCAAATCTTAAATTATTACATACCATAAGCTTCAATAAAGAATTAAGGTAATACAATTAATGTTTATTGACCAAAACAATATTATAATAACAGGTTCTCTACAGATTCTTCTAATAGTACTTCACCGTAAATATAAATAATGAAACAATATAATTGGGTTTAATTCTATTACTACATTTCTCTTTTTCACAAAATAGTAACTATTATTTTTCTCAAAACTATACTATTATAGGGCTTTTCATTAGAAATGACAAAATAAATTTAATCCATCAGGTTAGCCTGTTTAACCCACCATTATAGGTTGAGCTTCCAAATCCATTAATTTGTTTGAATTTGCTTGGCTTAAGAGCGAGTTAAAATGGTGGGTTGATCCGTTGGGTTGATTTTTATTATTTTTTTAAATATTAATTAATGACATCTTTTACGGCTCTTTTATCTTCATTTTATACCATTTACTTCTACGAGAAATATAATTTTTAAAAAAAATTAATTTCTAATATGTTGGCGGGATGGGGTGCGGCGAATTGAGAAAGGTTGAAATTTTCAACCCATTTTCAAAAATAGGATAAGGCAGATAGGGTTGGGATCAGTGTTATGAAATCCGAACTGACCCGGCCGGGTCAACCCGGGAACCGGTAAACCGGTCATATAATCGGTCCGGTTGAAGCGACGGACTGGTTATGCATTAGAACCGGTGCGACCCGGCCGATTTTAACCGGTGACCTGGCCCGGTCTCAAAAAAAAAAATCTAATTTTTTTTTTCAAAAAAATAAATCATAATGGACATATTTGAATATTTTTTGCTTATTGACTTACATAAGCTATGTACCTACAACACTAATATTATCTCAATTATGCACTATGCAGAAAATTTTGATTTGATTTATAGTTAGAGATGTCGTTTTCTTAACCTAAAGTCTCGTATGACGATCATTATATTTTTGTTTGATCTTTTATTGGATAAGAATATGTCATTTATTATTTTTATATTAAAATATTTGAAATTTTTATCATTTTTTTTAGATATTTGAGTATGTTTATAATTTTTTAATATAAATTCTAAAATTGCATATAATTACCGGGTCATGCGGTTGAACCAGTGACCCACTGGTTAAACTAGTGACCCAGTACCTCGACCGGGTCAATGACCAGGCCGATTTTAATAACATTGGTTGAGATACTCGTTTAACCACCACTATAATGGTCAACCTGATATGCGAAATTTAAGTGGAAACAAAATTTAAGTGGAAAGGAAAGAAAATGGTTCTTTTGTTGTTTGGTATGTAGAGAAGAAGAGAATTAGATGGATCCAATTTCTATAGCCCGACATTTTTACAAGCATCCCTTCTTAGGATTTTAATTATAAATAGAGTTCACGAAAATTATTTTACTAAATAATTTATTTTTAGTTTGAATACATTTTATATATTACCAAAAAAAATTAATTTAATTTTTTAATTTTTTTTTAATTTTTACTTAAAAATATCTGTTAACTAAAAAAACAACACTAAACATACTCTTATTTTATTAATTTCTTTTCCTTTACCTCTATTATCCCAAACACACGAATTATTATTTCACTTGGATAAATTCATTATGCATCATACATAACAGGTCTCATGCCCCTCGGTAACAATTCATCAAGCACATCCTAGTAAAAAATTTCAACGAAAATGGCATTCCTAAATAATGACACCCATTTTTTTTATCCATGCACTCTTATAGTGGGATTATTGTTGCTGGTGGCGTCGGAAGTAGGTGAAAAGGAAGGGTAGAAGATAATGGAAGTGGTGGCAAAGGTAAGTGTAAATTGGGCTAGGCATTATCGAATGGCTTCATCAAGTCAAGGAATTTCTTAATACCACTTTTGAAAACAACAAAAAAGACTAATATTTTTCATGATAATAGGGATGGGCATTAGTTCTTGAGCATTGCGTAACAAAATAATCCAAAAGATAAGATACCAACAAAATATAGCCAACAGAAATACCATTTTTTTTTCAATTTATATTTTGGTTTTGATCGTGGGTAAGTAAAAGAATAGTTCATGCATTCTTTTAGTTCATTGACTATAACCTGAAATAATACTCATCGTCACTATCATTTCTCTAGAGGTTGAAACTTCAGAAACTTCTTGGTTACTCTGTTACATGTATCACATGTTCCATGGCAAGTTATTTGACTTTATCGGAAATCTGCATATCAACGGGTTTACAGAAGAATCATACATTCATACCAGTGATTTAACATCACACTTCAATTCAAAATCATAAGATATTGAGATTACGATTCTTTTTATCTCATATGAGCTTCATTTTATCTATTCATTTTTATGTGAGATTTCTTTTTTGTGTGTGGATATTATCTATCAGTTCATTGATAACTTCATTAATCCAATTTAAGTCAAATCACATAGGTGACAAAACTCTCTATTAAATTTTAATATAACTGTGTCGCAAGAATTCGAACTCGAGACCACTAATTAAGCTGAAAGAATCTTTTACGAGTTGATTAATGTGTATGTGAGACTTCTTTACTCATATATGTTACACTTTCACTTAAATTCCAAAATCTGGTCCTACAAAAAAAAATCACTGAACAAGGGGGCCCTAGGCGGATATCTTGTCCTAAATGTAATTATTAAATTACTTCTCTTTCATACCGTCAAATTTTTGGAAAATATGGAAGAATGACCCGAAACGTCGGCTTGTTTTTAAAATTGCATTTTGGATTATGCAAGAAATTTAATCATGCATTAAACTAATTTAAGTCATAATTTATCTACAGTTAACCATGAAATTGAATGAAAAATATTGATTAACAATAATTAGCTTATTAATTAAATCAATTCATTTCAGGGTTAAAATGTTTTGGACCATTTCCTTTTTCAAGTTCTTTCTTCCATTCAAACGTATCATTTTATCTTTTATATTCTCAACTATTCACACATCTCACTCAGTGTGAGACAATAATTAGCGAAGACTAGATATAATTAGTACATGATAGTAGGGAAAATGGAATGAATGAATGGCAAAATTGAGAAAATCATGACCATATAAATTACCAAATTCACTCCTCCAAATCTGTTGCTCCCATTTTCCCAATCAAGCACATCGTAAGTGTCTCAAATTGAACAGAGTTAAAAGTCAAACAACACACTGCACAGCAACATAGTTTGAGGGTCAAAAGGAACAAAATGAAATATGTAAACGACCCTTCTCTCCAAAGTGCCTCCTTAACCTTACACAGTAAAATATGCTTCAATAATGAAAACAGAAACAAAAAGGCTATAGAAAATAGCCACATGACTATTTCAAAGGTGCTGCAAGTTCTCAATGATTGGAGAAGTTTGCCAAATTCCCTGGCTGATAAGGTACGCCTAAATAGAAGCACCACTTACAATCAATTCCCAAGATATCCAATTCAAAACCAACAAGCCAGAGATTTAACAAGGAGATTCTTTGATTACCAACTAAGCAAACAAGTTCATTGACTCTATCTTTCTTTACATATCTATGAAATTCCTTAATCTTCTGTGTAGAAGCAGAGAACTACTGATCAGAAGACAAACAACAAAAACCATAAAGGAAGAGTACTGTAATACAGAATTTAAAATATAGGATATCAAAGTCATCTACCCTCAGACTTCACCAACTGTGAGAACACCCTACTCATAGAAACTCCAGACAGATCATCCACATTTGAAGCTTCAAAATGTACAGCAGAAGCACTTGCATCATGGTTGAAATTGTTGACCTGTGGAGAGAGTTCAATCATATTGGTACTGTTTTCTTCAGGGTCACCTTGAACCACTGCCTCTTGAAGTTGGAGAGCATACTCCAAATTCCACAAGACATCTCCCATAGAAGGCCTATCAACACCAAAGTCAGCCAAGCATTTTTCAGCAGTTTCTCCAAACTTTCTAAGAGAATCTGGTCTGATTTTGCCTGCAAGTGTTGGGTCTATGATTTGCTCCAACTGTCCTTTTTTCTGCCACTTCATTGCCCATTCTGCCAAGTTTACCATTTCCCTAGGAAGGGATGGATCGATGACGGGTCTTGCACAAAGAACTTCAAACAGAACTACCCCAAAAGAATACACATCTGACTTTTCTGTTAGTTGTTGCCTCCTGAAATACTCTGGATCAAGGTACCCAAAACTCCCTTTGACAGCTGTGCTCACATGTGTCTGATCAATTTCAGGCCCTGTCTTCGATAATCCAAAATCAGCAACTTTAGCCATTAGGTTCTCATCAAGAAGGATATTTGCAGACTTCACATCACGGTGAATAACTGCTTTAGCATAGCCAGTGTGAAGGTAATGAAGTCCTCTTGCAGATCCAATGCATATCTCAAGTCTCTCTTTCCAACTTATGCTAGGAAGGCCAGAACCGTAAAGATGACTTTTGAGAGTTCCCTTCTCCATATATTCATATATCAAGATCATTTCATTCTTTTCATCACAATACCCAATCAATGACACCAGATGGCGATGCCGGAATTGAGACAGCATTTCAATTTCAGTTCGGAATTCTGCAAGCCCCTGCTGGGACCGTGGATTCCCCCTCTTAACCGCTACTTTTGTGCCATCACTTAATTCTCCCTTGTATACTTTCCCAAAACCACCTATCCCAATAACCCAATTCTCATCAAAATTGTTTGTAGCCTCCTGAACTGCCAAAAAAGGGACACGGTACTCAAAGTTCGAAGTAGCACTTATTGTTGTGCCATTAGAATATTTACTTCCCATGGTATGGGAAGTTCCATCATTGATGGATAAAGGAACCCATGTCTTTGACTGCCTTTGTCGTGCCAACCGTCTTCTTTTCTGGCATAGAACAACGAAAACTCCAGCCAAGACCACTGCACTAAATGCCCCAACACTCACACCCACTATCATGCCAACTTTCTTAGAACTCGAACCAGAAGTAATAGCCACAGATCCTGTTCCTGCACTGAGACTGCCCATAGAATTGTTCATTTTCATGATCTCCAGCCCATTCAAAATGGCATTAGGAGAGTCCGGATTTAGAGTAGAAGGGCCAATACTTATGACAAGTTTATTTCTGACAGCCAAGGATGTAACAAAATCCCTATAAAATGGAACAGCCAAAACATTAATATTTATATTACTCGGATCAACATCCTTGGCAGCCAACAAGGAGTCAATATAAACGTTGAAGTAGAGTTCGTTGAGACTCGGACTGACTATATCACAGAAGTGAGCTCGAACAAGGTACTGAAATCCAGGATCCACATCAAACTGCCATGTCATATTGAAATTACTACGGGGATCACCGCTTGTGTTCATCTCCGCGACAGTACCATAAACATTAGATGGAGCAGTGTTTTCTGTTGCCCCACCAGCTTGATAATGAACAGCACCAATATTCGAAACATCAGAGGCAAGGTTAGGTTGTATAATGAACCTTTGATCCGGAACCCAAGTTCGATGAAGGGTGTCATTTCCAGAGGAGACAGTTGGACCACCCATGTTAATCCTCCAAACTGTCTCCAATGCCTGTGTTACCAACCCAGAGTACTTTGCTAATGGATTTAGGGTGAGAGCATCATCAGCAATGAGCTCATCAGGTATAGACACAACTTCAATGGCATTTACAAAGGCAAGGGAATTGTTTGAAGGGGTAAAGGTGATCACAAGGGTGTCTGAGGTCACCCTGACAGAGTATTCCTTCATGACAGTATTTTTCTGCACAGTTAAATTACTGCTGAGAAGGAAAATGTTTTGGGTGGAAACAGAGAAATTTGCAGCACTCAAATTGTATTGCTGATAAGTGAATGGAAAAAAATAAAGACGGATCCAGTGTCTCCCCTTTTGCTTAATTGGAAAAGTGTACTTTGAGGATCCACTGAAGATTCTTGCCGTTTGATAGAGAGATGAATCATCAGGGGAAGAAGGAATTGATTTTAAGGAGGTATTTGCAAGAATATCTTGTGGGGTGGAAAGGAGATTCTTAGATAAATTATCTGCTGTGAAATTGCGGTTACCTACTAGAGTATTTGCAGAAGCTCCACAGTTTATAAGATAATTATCCACTGGAACAAAGGTGGCACAAAAACATCCCAAGGGCAGGATAGAAAAAGCACAGATAAACAAACCAAGTTTTCTCCAATCCATCATTATGGCATCTAGAAAGGAAAGGAAGAACCTTTTTTTATGAAGCAAATTTAATCCTAGGAAGATCTTTGGTACAAGCAGGAAAAGAAAGTTATGAGCTTCTACTTATCAGACACAAAAAACACAGAAAGTCAAACACAGAAATAGAGGAAAAACAAAGACGGAGGAAGATGGCACCTGTAATAGTATGAACAAAGCGAGAGAGCAGAAGACAAATCTAAAGTACCCCTTTTGTTATTCTGAGAGAAACTTTAACACAAATAGTGGTAGGAGAAGGACAAATCCATGTTCAGCAAGAATCTAGCTCAGGACAAGCTGGAATAATATTGATGACAACCTCAGCTATTGACATATTCATAGTTTTTTTTTATAAATATTTTAAGAATAAAAATAAAGAGAGAGAGAGAAGGAACGGAATCGGTGGAAACAGGGTCAAAACTCAAAAGGGTTGGTGGAAGAGTTTTGGGAGAAGCATGTGGGTGTGCAAATAGAGATTAAACAAATTAAGAGACGGTAAGGTTAGTGGGTTTAGGTAACTTGATCAAGGGCAATAAAAAAAAAAAAAGGAAGAGTTATTGATTTGATATTATTATAATAAATGAGATTAGTAAGGAGAGAAAGAGAAAGAGATGGATGTTTAAAATGTTTTCTTCTGCTTCTGCTTTTGCTTGTGGGCTCGCTTTCCCTGTGATTGATTATCAATGAGCCTTCAGAAATGAATGGGAAAGTGGAGCACGCTGGAGTGAAAGTATGAATATAGACATCTGAAATCGAAACCGAATCAAGTAAAATCTTTAATCGCTTCAAAAGGAAGTTTCTCAAACTCCACTACAAACCAAAAAATCAACAGGTTATAAAACAAAGGGTCCGTCGGTTCTCATGTTGCGCTGATGAGAAAAGTTGTAGTAAATTTTAAACACTAGGATACACGTGCGGATCCTATCAAAACAAAAAAAAACTAAAAAAATCCAGGATTCGGACGCGTATCCTGTGTTATTGTAAATTTTCCCTTCTGCAATTACATGAGAAGTACTTTCTCCTAAAACAAAATAGCAATTTACTTTGACCTTCTAAATTATATTTTTCTTTTTTCTATTGATTATCAAATTAAGGGCAAAATTTTTTTCCCTTAACAAATTTTGAACACTGGCGTAGCGGCAAGCACTCGAACTTAAGACCTCCTTCGTGTTTTGTTACTAAAATTGTTACCACGATTTAAAAAAAAAGAAAAAGGCCACGGTGTGATTAAAAATTGACAGACTTTTAATTAAATGATAATCCTTGATTTTATATTACTTTTACCATCAAGCATGGATCAACTAATTCTTAAGCACGTTGATGAATTGATATATAATATTCAAAAAAATAGGGATTTTTTTTTCTTAAATAATAAAAATAGAATTAAATTAATTTATTTATAAAATAACTAAAATTTAAAAAAATATTTTTAAAAAATAAATAAATTAATCTATTAGGAAAATATCATTAAAGATTGATTTTTATATATTTGAATGTTATAATTTATTAAATTATATTTATTAATTAACTATTAATTCGTAATAAATTATAATGTCAAATTCAAGAAAATGAAATATTAAGACGAGGAGCAATTCTTTTTAGGAAAAACTTCAAAAAAATCCTTACGAGTTTTCGTAATTATCACTTGCCCCCTCATAAAATTTTTAAATCATTTATATTTTTATTTAGATTTTTTTATCATTTACCCTATTGACTTGAGTTTCTTTATCACTTACCCCTTCACTTAGCGAGTAAATGATAAAAAAAAGTTTAAGTCAGAAGATAAATGAATTAAAATTTTGGAAAGGAAAAAAATGATTATGAAAAAAGTGATAGGAGGATTTTTGAAATTTTTCCTTCTTTTTATTCTTAAACTGAATTTAAAAAATCTCTCCCCAAATTTATATTCATTTCTAAATTTTGATAAATTAAAAACACAGTATATTTAATTATTTAACTATACCGCACAAAATTAAACGTGTGGTGAGAAGAAGAATATGCATAACACAGGAGAAAATAGATTGCGTGTGGGCGAGGTTCGATGATATGATCTATTTTGTTTTTTGGCGTGGGCCTGCAACCGTGTAGCTCTCTACTCTTTAGTTGGCAACTGGCAAAGCGTAATGTGGACACCTAACACATTAATCCTCGTTTTCTTTCCTTTAAAATATCGTTTTCAAAACACTCAACGACCACAAACTCGCAAATACGAAATCAACATATTTGTATTGGGCCATGCCCATTGTCATGAACACATGATGCCATGTCTCAATGCACATTTCGTGATTCGTGCCGCTTGTTCAGCACAAATTAAAGAGGAGAAAGTAAATACAAATGCCATACGACAAACGTACTCTAATTTTTCTTTTTTAATTTCACGTGAATTACGGTCCTTGTACAAATTTATACAAAATTACAAATATTAATTTACATTTTAAAAAGTAAATGTATCATTAACTTATCATATAATTTATATATTTAAGGAAAACTTTACTTAAATATAATTCACCATGTGTCATTTAATCTCCTGAATGACTAAAATATCCTCATATATAAAATATCAAAAACACCTCTAGCAAACAAAACACTAAGTTAAAGATGAATTTTAAAAATATCCTTAATTAAAATAAAATCAATATATTTTATCTATATTTTATTAAACATTATCAACTTTGCTACTCAACGAATGGCTCCAAGGTTGGTTATCTTCATCTTGGACAGGATGGTTATATTCAAAGACACTTACAACGAAGCATTGTCTGATTGGTTGAGTATTTTGGGCCAAAAATCTCTGCAATTTGCTCAAAGCTTACACCAGAAAATACAATATTTGTGAAGATTCTTGTATATCTATTACTTATGATGCACGGACACGGATATGGGATACGGGACACGATACAACACAACACGCTGACACATCAATTTTAAAAAATGTCATATTTTGATACGTTGGGACATGTTTTGATATTAAATAAAAAATTTAATATATATAATCTAATTTATATTTAATACATATAAGAGTTCATAATAAGTTACATAACTAATCAAATATTTAAATTTTATAACATAAATATAAATATAAATAATTTTTCGTACTTTGTTAATTTTTCGTATCAAATTTCATAACAGAAAAAAATTAATTTATAAATTATTTCTTTTATATTTAGTTAATAAAATAAAATTAAGATTTAAAAAAAAAGTGTCCGAGCTTTGATCACATATTGAAAAAAATTGACCGCGTGTCGAAACATGTTGAAAAATTGACCGCGTGTCGAAGATCTGACACCCAAATTTTCTAATTTGGAGTCTGTCCGTGCTTTCCGGTCTATGATCAAAGTAACAGCATATCTATGACCAAAGTAACATCCAGAAGGAACTTCCACTGCATCATAAAGGAACATACATGACCTGGTGTTAGATATTACTCTAAGCCATTACTCCATCAGAAAGTTATGTTATTTAGGTAGACATTATCTATATTGTTAGAAAATATAAAATTAATAATGTAGCGTCATTCAATAATTTAAATTTTTAGGTTGAATTAGTTCTTTAGATGATATTAGAGTCTTAATGTTACGAGTTTGATCATCACTGTCTTCTATTTAATTAATAAATAATTAAGTATTGTGAAGTTTCTTAACACAAATAGATGAGCTTGTGCATTATTTACCTTTCAAGTTCAGTGGACTCTCATGTGATGAGTGTGTTAGAAAAATATAAAATCAATAAATAACCTCATCCAATAACTTAAACTTTTAGGTTGAATTAATTCTTTATATATATATATTATCATCCACCTATATTTTATTTTGGTTTTTCTGTTGTAAAGTTTATGGACGTGTCAGATACAGCTCCAAAAGATACAACTTAAATAATATTACATAATTAAGTCCATTTATTTCTTGAATGTTCAGGTGCGCCCTAATTATACATGTACTCTAATTAATTGTGTGCACCTTTTCATATTTTTATTTTCTGTCTTGTGTTTTACTTTTCGCAGAGTGTCAATGCATTTATTACTAAACAATAATATTAATAAGAATATTTAAATGTTAAGCCACCCCACTATGCCCAAGAAAAACCAGGCCAATCCCCCGTTTAAATGTTAAGCATGCTTGTCTGTTTATTCTACCCCTTGCATGTACGGCTGCTTATGCAAAATTAGAATAGAGAAAGGGTATTAGAGTTTTAATTTTAATTAGGGATCATTTTGATATTTTATTTTTAATTTAATATTTTGTTTATTAAGGATATTTTTTATATTTTATATTATGAAGGTATTTTAGTCATTAGGAAGGTTAGATAACATATAGTGCAGCCACAATGTATATAACAGATAATTTTTAAACTACAGGTGCTAAATGATTTATACATAAACTAAGAGAGTGAAGTTTTTCCTATATTAATAGAACTCTAATAAAATAATTAAGCATTAGACCATCATATTAACGTGTCTCACGCACCAAATTAAAGTCAGAATAAGATCAAGTTAAATTAGGCTAAAATAATTTTTAACTTGCTTTTTATTATTTCAACCCACGTTTGACTTTGATCCATTTTAACATTCCAAGCCAAACAAATATTTGTTATACACCAAATATGAAGATGTGTAAAGCAGTGATGCATGTTTTATTGAAAAATGCTTCTTTTATAAAGCTATTAAAATAATATTTTTATTCAAACTCAGTAAGCAACATTTAATTTATGAATCCATCAATCAATTAAGGAAAAAATATTTGTCTTTTTAAAAGATATAATTTGTGTTATTTTAAATCTCAATCGTTGATTTTCATCAATCAACAATTATAATTTATTGAATCAAATTTATTAATAAATTAATAATTCACAATAAATTATAACTGTTAATTGACGAAAATTAATATTTTTAAAAAATACTTTTACTCATTAATAATCTATATTTTGTCTCCCATGTGCAATCTTCTGTATTTAAGTTGCTGTCATCTTTTTACCCAAAAAAAGAGTTGCTGTCATTTTTTTTACCACAACATTATGTGCATATTCTACTTTTGGGAATTTACATATATTCTTATTAGGGTTTAATAAGAGTTATGTTGTAGGAAAAGTGATTGTGTTATGTTATAGAGATTCGTTTTGCGTGCCGAAGTTTTTTTTTTTTTTTTGCTGCGGGCCCCACAAAATGTTGTGTGTGTAGGAAAATTTTTGTGGTCATGTTAAATGATAGATGATAAACCCTTCTTATTATTTAACAAATTGTAATTATGTATATCCAGAGGGTTTTAATTATTAGAAATTTATTAAATATCGTTTTCTTTCCTTTAAATATCGTTTTCAACGACCACCAAGCTTGAAACTCGCTAATATGAAAGGCAAAAAGTTTTATCCTTTTAAATCATACAAAGTTGTATCCTTTTAGCAGTAATAAACATGGCTTTAATATTTCTACGGTGAATGTAGATAAGTTATTTATATTTACTGGCAAAACGACGTCATTTTAGGTTGAAAGATTAAAAAATTATAATGAGAAAAATTATTATAACCCTGAAATAAATTATAATTACACAATATTTTAATTTTTCGTTTCAAAACGATATCGTTTTGGGCTCTTATCTACATTGACTACAGAAAAAGCAAATATTGTAAATATATATTACGGGAAGTATATAATTATAATATTAAAGTGAAAAGTGAAAAATACATAACTTTAATATTATAATTATATATTACCCGTAATACATAGTTATAACTACTAAAATGGCACACG